AAAGAGTTCACTGTTTCTATCTTATCATGTTTGTGGATTATCAAGGTCAAGACACTGACAGACACTCCATATTATTAATGATGAGCAGCAAACTTGCTGACATGTCTACGTCACTATACTGAAGTAAGTTTGTGGTAGTTTGATAACATAAACTTAAAATACTGCTATAAACACTACTGATCTTAGGATCAAGGGTAAGGGATGAACAAGCTAAGTAAGGTAATATTTCTACAAATTCTATTCCGTGTGCTCATCTGCCCTCTAACAAAATTGGTTGTTACAGTTCTTCAATAATTACAAATGTATCTACCTATCAGTTTACCTCCTACATAATATTGGTTTTAAGTTTAGTTTTTAATAACATTACAAAACATTTTTTTGTAAGTATGTGTGTTTACTTTTACAAGAAAACAGTAGTTGATACAGTTACTCTATCAGTATAGATAAAACTTTATCTTTGCATATCAATAATGATTATCATAAGTAGCAATTATATTTAAAATGAGAAAACATTAAATGAAAAAAAATACCTGATAGACTTCAATTTGATATGCATATAAGTTTCATATACTAATAATATATTTTTGTTAGAGATTTATGAAACCATTTATTTTGACAACCCGATTTTGGTTTAAAAGTTTATAAGTTTTAAAGAAGAAAGCATTTTGCAGACAAAGTAGTGACCAAAACCATCCATTTTGATATGCCCAATGTTACTCTCATAATTATTAAGATCTCACGAGACCTCTCAACCCAACATCCATCACACCGTTAAGGCCACAGAGTGAGCCAAAGAAATTTATGTATATTTACACACATACTTGAAAAACGACAGATCATTTAGAAAATTAATATAAAGGTATACAACATCACCATCCCTATTCATCTCGTTGGTGTCGTAAGAGCCGACTAAGGGATAAAACTACGCAGAACAACAGCACTGCAGAGAGAAGGTAAACTTGACACAAACCCCTATACCAACCCGTCTGGCCAGCATGGTGGTGGCCAAAACCTGATTTCTAAGGAGAGGCTTATGTGGACTATTAAAGGCCGTTAATGAAAAGAAAAAAAAATACAACATATTTTAAAAACACTCACCTTTGCTATTTAACATTCTCTGTTGAATGTTGGACAATGCAGTCACACCAACCTTTGACACCACATATGAGGAGTTTCCCCACTCAGCAGCTTGAGTTCCTTCCTTAGCAGCGTCCACATATTGCTGCATTAATTTAGAAAGCTCTGGAATCGTCAGTTTCTCGTCTTTGAGTTTCTCTCTCAAATCTTTGCTTGGAATTAAACTCAAATGCCCACAAGAACTAGAAATATTAACCACACGCCCACCGTTTTTCAATAGCGGGAACAATATATCGCACGTTGATACTAAAGAGAAGTAGTTCACAAAGAGTGTCTGTTCGGCTTGAACAGATACCGGCTCCGTAGCTGAGTGTTTAAAAGCAATAGCGGCGTTATTAACTAAAATATCGATTCCTTCATATTTACTCTTGATATAATCCCGGAAACTTTCAAGACTCTTCTTATCTGTGATGTCTAGCTGGTGAAACTCTGGTTTCAAACCTTCCTTGTTAAGTTCTTCTACCGCTTTCTTTCCTCGCTCAACGTCTCTTGCTGTTAAATATACAACTCCATCAAATCGTTTGCAAAGACCGCGAACTATAGCATAGCCAATACCCTTGTTAGATCCTGTTACGACTGCAACTTTCGTAGCCATAATTAAGAGTTATTTCAATCTGAGATTCAACACAAAAGTGTAAATACTATTCATACAAATCAAGTGATAGCGATACAAACAAAGCTCTTTCTGACCGTGAACTTGCTTTTTTCTAATTTTTTATCAATGGCCGGCGAATGACGGGCGAAACCATAGAGTAAAATTATCAGGGATGTTAGATAGTGGCACAATCAAGCTTTTGCAGATGTTGCCAAAAGGCTTATTAAAGCTGGTTTAAAAAAAAATTGGTACACTCACAATAACGTTATATTAGTAAAATAAAAACAATAATAAATCGTTTATATGTATGTTCTTTTAAATGAATTTTTGAATTATCGAAGAAATGCTTGTTTTGAAAAAAAATCGTTCAATAGTTATTATTAACTAGCTGAACCGCGCAACTTCGTCTGCGTCTCTCAATAGTAGTAAATTTTCTCCGTTTTGGAAACATTCTTCATTGGTGCTCCGCTCCTATTAGTCTTAGCGTGATGATATATAGCCTATAGCCTTCCTCGATAAATGGGCTATCTAACACTGAAAGAATTTTTCAAATCGGACCAGTAGTTCCTGAGATTAGCGCGTTCAAACAAACAAACAAACAAACAAACAAACAAACAAACTCTTCAGCTTTATAATATTAGTATAGATAAAATAACTAATAATAATTATTTTCATTATTCATTGACATTTTTATTATTAGATCTTATAAATGTCTATACATAAAAAACAAAATAAAAATCAACCAACAACCAAATTTTTCTATTATTTCAATACATTTGACAGTAGGGTATGAATTTTGATCGATTTTCTGACAAAATCATACCCTTCATTCATGGATAATTCGCTCGATTGATAAAGTTAATCAGAAGTAACTTACTGAATAGGTCAAAAATAAATATCATTATGGTATGAACAGTAAATTTTTACAATAATCAACGTATTTTACAACATACAAGATTTTTTTAAAATGTATGATCGATGTAGAAAGTTTGAAATCTTTATTCGTTATTTGTACCGTAAACAGTTAACCAATTTCTTATGTTCAAATACAAACCAACAAAAAAAAGTCGCTCACACTAAGTTAAGAGAGTTGTGTTGTTGCATCGAATTTACAGTAAATGTGTAACGACCTTATCTTATTCATTCTCCAACCCTATTTTCCCAACCTTGGTTGGAGTCAACTTTTTAAGATAGACCGAATATATAATAAAAGGTAATTTTAAGGGCAAAACAGGCTCAACACAAAGAAATATACTCAATAAAAATATAACTATAGTATAAAATGATTTTATTAGAATGTATCTTAGTTACAAAGGCACTAATGGAATTAAACATACATTTATGTCTATGTAATTTCCACTGGAAGACTTATTAAAATAAACATTAGCTAAACCTAGATTTAACATTATTTTTTTTACCAAATGTAGGTAATTTCATAAGATAATACACAAAGTTAATTAAATGATAATAATCATATTTTATTATAAAAAATAGTCTTATAATTAAAAACAATGGATATATAAATACTATTCATCAACACAGATTATTTAAATTATAATAATTTTAAACCAACGACTGCCTGGCAAGTCAGTTCAGACCATCAGTTCGTCTCTGACCAGCTTATCTATTGCTTACATTCCTTTGTAGCTCTCATATTGAACTTGGTAGTTCAATATGAGAGCTACAAAGGAATTGCCAACTAAGTGCCAATTGCCCAACTAAGTGCCCTAAGTTCATATTTGACGGTATTAAGACTTGACCCCTTACGCAAGCGGGACTTGATATTGCCCACTTATGTACGTGAGAGGGACTAAAGTTATATTTATAATAGAAATGTGGGACTATAATACGTTTTACAACATTTTAACAAAATTCTTTTTTTATTAACATCATTACATAATTATATATGTATAATAGATTTTTTTTAAATATTAGTCTTTTTTTTTCAAAAATATGACTTAGTTCAAATAAGAAATTTAGCAATAAAAGTTAATTATTGTAAAAATCTTAATAATTGCAAAAAAATATATTTTTATAACAATTACAAAATTCAGAACATATATTCCTTTACACTTAGGTATTTCACAGTAACAGTCTTACTTTTATATATTAATAATATGTTATGTATTTTCTTGAAGGTATGAGATCTCGTCTGAAATACCATTATAAATACAACCTATAGCCTTATACTGGCTCCTTTATATTTTTTATAAGTAACAAATGCATTAACCGTTAACTCCTCATGTGCCGCTACACTGTACAGTGATTTTACTGGTACACTGTACAGTGATTTCATTGGTAAGTACAGCTTCAGTGTTGTACATGAGTTAAATGTACAGCTATAGGTATGAAAGAATATAGTATTGATTGATTCCCGAGAATTAAGATATCATTACATCTGATTTGAATATCAATGAACAAGTTAAGTCCCACTTGAGTCCTATGATTAGTCCCATTTCATTCCAAATAAGATATGGTGTAGAATGTATTTAAACAAGTTGCAACACATATATTTGTGCAATCTCAGTTCTTTTTTCGTCTATTTTGATACTCAGAAATTAAACAATACTTTTATGATTAAATATTATTTTTTATAAAACTTCCAAATCCCAAAGATTTTCTGTTTTAGAACTGTTCTAACTATACAACTGCCTAAAACAGTTTTCGGAACAATCAATGTGTTTTTGAATGCAACCAGTTTCTTTTAATACCAAATAATAATACGTATGTAGCACAATAACGGTTCTTGGCCATCATCTCATTCCATAATAAACTCTGTATGTATTTCTTATTTATAATAAATAATTATTAATGATTTAAATAATCCATTAAGCTGCTGTTAGAAAAAAATAACTTTATTTCGTTTGCGTTAAGAAAATAGTGACGTATCTTTCGTTAGAATCGATAATTTCTTGGAAGATGATTTAGTCAGGGAGTGGGGTTTGATTGATGCGTCACAGTTTTGTTAACGCAAACGGAGTATAATGCAAATTTAATTAATTAATTGAGTTTCATACACAATGTATTAATATAATTTCTTTTCTTTTTATCATTTAATTTTCTACTCATTGGTAGATATATATATAATTCTTTATAAGTAGCTCCTACTTCCTTTAAGATAAGGCTTAAATTGATTTAATTTATCCCATTTTTATTAGTTTACTGCAGTCTTTTCATATATTTATAAGAACTGTTGGTCAGATATGTTTAATAGTAAATTATAAGCTAAATTCGAGTTTCGGCAGTACCTTTCGTGAGTCCTGCTCGATTAATGCTCGTTGTTTAACAACTGCGGTATGACGTCATCAATACTGACATCGCCCACGAAGCCCACGAAGAATACGTCCTCTATGAAAGGCCCCGGGAACGATCTCAGTACCGGCAGCTGGAGCAAGAGGGTGGCTAAGCGATCCTCGTCCGGTTGACAGCAGGAGCGGAGAGAACGGAGCACTTTGATTTGGTAGTCGTGAAGTTTACGGGTTAAAATGTCGGTTACACCATCTATAAGAATATTTTAGGTTAGCTTTGTTGATAAATATTAGTTTAAAAAGTGTGTCTGTGTGCAATTCACACACGGCAGAAGTGAAGTGATTTTTTTTTCTTAGAAAAACCCTATAAAATTTTGCCAGGCCCAGGCATCGATCCCACTAAGGCAGCGTTTTTCAATTCATGGAGTTTCAAATCACGATTCTGAAGAAGTTCCACTTCCAAAAAACAAAAAAACTAACTAATAATATATTTTATCGTAAAAAAGCTTGGGGTTCTATATGTCAAATGGTGAATAAATGTAAAGTAAGCTACATACTGGCACAAGACACTACCGTGTTTTTAGATATTGATTATAAAGTGATGATATTGTATTATGACCGGAAATCGAATCGGTAATCAGCTGTTCTTATTTTACTATGGAAATATCTATCATGACAGCGCGAGATCGTGAGTCGATCGGAATTTGACTTTTTGAAGATTTCGATTAGGATAATGGGACAAATTTATTACTTAATCCGACGTTTTGAAATGTCATTCAAAAATTCCTTTACATACATCCATATAGAGGATTTAGTGTAAGTTTTATCATCATTATGGAGAGTCTTTAATCGGCCACTGCTGGTCACATAGGTCTCTCCTTAAAAAGGAGGTTTGGCCTATTATGGCTAGTGTGTTTATTTCATATAAATTCGACCGTCACGGTGATTGCGTTCGCGCTCGTACTGAAATCTTCAGTAGTCATCTCATCATCATCAGCCTGTAATAGTTCACTGCTGGACATAGGTCTCTCCTTAGAAAGAAAGTTTTGGCCTGCTATACCATGCTGGCCAAAACTTTTCCGTCTCTATGCGGTGCTGTCGTTCTGCGTAGATTACTCTCTTAGTCGGTTCTTATGACGCCCACGGGACGAATGGGGGTGGTGACACTGTTACCCATCAATGTGAGGTGTAATGTATGAAGGTATGTGCGCGCTGACCGGGCGAGAAGAGCACGAGCGCGCGCATGTGTGCGTGCTCGCGCTCGGTGAGGCGCAGCGCGTCTGCGCGCGCCACGAGCTGCTGCAGCCGCGCCAGCGACGCGCTCACCTCCGCCACGCGCCACTCCGAGTAGTCCGCCGCACACACCTGCACACCACACGACGAACGTTCATAATTCACATGGAAATTATTGCTACTTTTATCACATTCACAGGATGAAACGGTTGGTTTTAGTCACAACGATTTCGCCTGTGATTGTGATTTGGTCATAGACAAAAATAAATGGCGTTAAAATTAATCAAAATTATTTTTGTCAAAGAATTTTTATTTAGACCTTTCACAGTCTAGCGCTAATATAATAATAATAAATAGCAATGATTCTGTAAATTAGTCACAGGTGTGATTTTATGATTTATCACAGTTGGCATCGGGCAACCATCTCTTTCGTTTCCTATATCGCTTCCGATTACAAGCAGCTGTACCCCGTGTTCTTTCTATACTTATATCTCTGTAAGTATGCGTCCGAGCTATTCTGACACTTTCGCTCTTTTATTTTACGCACACTCAATAGATGGCGCTGATTCGATTAAAAGCTAAATTCTAAAATCATTTCAACTTCCAAACCAGTCAGACGACTCACACAAAATTTAACCATACAAATATAAGAATAAAACAAGCCTAAAGTCAACAGCATGATACCAGGAGCAAGAGAAAACGCTGCCGAAAAACCCCCTCTTACTATCTCTCTCCAATCCATAAAGAGTACTGCACTGCGCATGCTCGCTTGACACCTCTCAGCAGCTTTCTCTCTCGCACCTGGCATCACTGCAGAATACAGAGCTAGGTGGAGATAGCTTCCTCTATTCTTCTTCTCATATACATTTTTTTATCATCGTCATCAACAGGCCTTAGAAAGCAGGTTTTGGCCTACTATACCACCCTGGCCAGACGGACCACACCCACGGGATGAATTGGGGTGGTGACATTCTGTATTCTAAATCCGTCACCACACGGAAAAAAAATTGTTATTACGACAACGTTAATTATATTAGACGACCGAATGGCGTAGTGGTTTGTGTAACGGACTGCTATTCATAAGGTCGCGGGTTCGATTCCCGCTCAAGTCAAACATTTTTGTGCATGAACATTTAATGTTTGATTTGGTCTGGGTGTTTCTATGTATAATAAGTATGTATTTACAAAAAAAAGTATATATGTATTTATATCAGCTGTCTAGTACCCATAGTACAAGCTCTGCTTAGTTTGGGACTAGATGGCGTTATGTGAATGTGGTAGAATATTATTATTATTATATATTCTAATACATACATTTAAATTACAATTATTATTATTTTTTTATATTCAAGTCAGATCATATAACCCGCCCCGCGTCGCTGCCGGTGCAAAGGTGCCCATGATACTGGCAGCATTGCCTCGCTGAATTGCAACGGACATTCTTTGCACCAGAAACGAGCCGGAGCGGGAATCACCACTTTTATCTATAACTCGGCGACCAATCGGAATTATATATTCTTAAATAGATACGATTTATAGTCGTAGTATATTCGACACATACCTCTGGCATGTTCAGGTCACTGGACCTGTCAACACAGTCGTTGGTGGCCCTCTCCCTCAGCATGGACTGCAGGTGGTTCTCCATCTGCGGCAGGAGTGTGTTAAGAGACAGCTGCTGCGAGTACATCGTTAGCGACAGGACAAACAACTCCGGCCAGCATTTCTTCAGAAGTGTCACTTGTATTTCGTATCTGTAAGGAATGTTTATATTAATAGGGTACAAAATGCGTGCGAGTTCAACAGAGAAATTAAGATATAGAATGAAGATGAGATGAAGGTAGTGAAAGACAGTGTCAAGAGAATTTAAATGTAAGACAGAGAGAGAGAGAGAGAGAGAGAGAGGGGGGGGGGGGGAAGAGAGGTAGAGGGGGGGAGAGGAGAGATCGAACGGAGAAGAGGGGAAAAGGAGAGAGAGCGGAGAAAGGGGGACAGAGAGGAAAGAGGGGCTGAGAAAGAGAGAGACACTCACGGCAGGGTGGCGGCGGCCGGCACGCTCTTGAACCAGCGCGCGATGGCGGCGAGCAGGCGCGCGCCCGCCTCGCACGCGGCGTGCAGGCGCAGGTGCGGCGGCGCCGGCGCAGGCAGCGCCACGCTCAGCGACAGGGCGCCCAGCAGCAGCGCCTCGCTCTCTGCCGGGAACAGGTCATGTCACTACTACTCACTAGGGCTATCCATCAATTACGTCCCACGAATTTTAAGTTTTTTTAGACCCCACCCCCGTCCTTGTCACGGTCGGTCACTGTGAGACTTCCCCCTGCCTAGGGTGACATCACATTACGCATTTCACTATTATTTACTCTTTTTATTTTAGTTATTTTTGATTGGCAACAAACGACACACATTTTAACAGTAAGTATAAAATATACAAAAAACATGCCTTGTACTCATTCAATTGTAGACCACAACAACAAACATATTAAATTTAAATTTCGTGTTTTAACACTTGCATAATTAGGTTTTAAAATGGGTGGTCACTAAACTTAGAACCCCTCCCCCCTTATTATGTGACGTAATTTATAAATTTAACATTTATAGAAATAAAAGAATTTAAATAAAACTATGTGAAAAATGAACACTTTCCCATGATTCCATAAAAAAAATACCAATCGCTTTTTTATGTTTAAAGAACAAAAAGGTAGAATGCCTATTATTGATCATAAACGTCACCCACAGAATTATAAATATTAAAGACTTGACTGCACGGACGGTATAATGGTTTAAGCGGTCACCTTGTCGCTTCCTACTGCGCTGTGTTATGGGTTCGATCCCCACATGGAATAACACTTTGTGTGATCCAAAAATTGTTGTTCTGAGTCTGGGTGTTCTTTGTGTCCGTTTAAGGTATGTTTCTAAAGTCTCCACGACACATGATTTATTCCTACCGTGGGAGTTGTTTAAAAAAAAAGATTGATAAAACATTGTATTTAAATACCTTCCGACTGTTGTGTTTCGGCAGCAGCGTGTAAAGCTGCTAGAGGTACTTCTGGTGGAGTGGCGCCATACGTCGATTGAATATAGTCATTAATTGCACCTGTAATAAATATATATTATATTAGTGTTAACGTGGATCCTCAGTCATTCAAATTCAAATTATATATTTGCTATAAATGGGCTGGTACATGTTGTGGTATTAAAGGTTCAATATAGTACGAACAGACCCATTTAGCCATAAAGATAGCATGCAAATTTAACATTATTATTATGTCATTTTATACCTTGTCTGGTCTCCCTTTTATTTTAAAGGGGTAACAAAATCTAACACACGGGCCTTAGCCAAGTGTGCCAAAAAGGGATGATGATATGAAGTTAAGATGATGAGGATGAAGCGAGAAATTTGCGTGTGAGACGGCATGTGTTAAGAAGGACTGCTTTTTGTAAGAGTATGAGAGAGGATTTCGGCATTTCCAATGTGTTGAGGCTATCTTGAAGAGTCTTCGGTACTACGCCAGTTGTAGATATGACAATCGGTACTATTTTAACTCTATCTACCTGCCATTGCCTTTTTATTTCCGTTGCTAAGTCTATGTATTTAGTCATCTTTTCTGTGTGCGTCGTGAGGAGATTGTGTGTGTTACATACTGCTATGTCTATAATAAAAACTATTTTGTTAGTTTTGTCTAGTATTGTTATATCCGGTCTATTATAATGTATGGTTTTGTCGGTAATTATTGTCCTATCCCAATATATTTTAAATGCATTATTTTCTAGAACTGTACTGGGTTTATATTTATAATAAGCAGTTTTATTTGAAATAAATGAGTATTTGTGAGCTAGATTTTGATGGATTATTGCTGCAACTTGGTCATGTCTGTGTTTATATTATTATTAATTTAACATTATTATATATTATTATTATTATTATCATCATTACTCATCAGTGTTTGTGTATTGATTATAAGTTCACTTTTATTAATTATACCTACTACTCTCCACCATTCAAAAAGTATAACAGACAGGTACAACAGACAATGAACCCTGGCCAAACGTTCCGAGTCCTGAAATAATACATAACAAAACCCTTTTGAAAAAAGGTATTCTAACAAAGACCAACTAAACGTTCTGCTAAAATGAGAACGCAAGATGTCGTAACAAAAATATCATCGATGTATATAATTATTGTTGATTTAAAAAAAAAACGCTTAACCAATTTAAATGGGACCACCTGGGAAGTATAACCTTTATTACAAAAAAAATATATTTTTTCTAATCGGTTCAGGCGTCTTCGGGTAATCGGTGAACATACATAAAAAAAAGATTCCGACGAATTGAGAACCACTTTTTTTATGCCATAAGGGGGCAAACGAGCAGGTCACCTGACGGTAAGCAACTACCGCGCAACTCAAAAGTCACAAGCGCGTTGCCGCCCTTGGAGTCCCTCCCGCTCGAGTCAGCGGTAGGGGATTTGGGCTCCTGTAGCCTCACTCACTCAGTGAAAGGCAACAAAAGAATTGCTTAACACCGGTTTTCTGTGAGGCCGTGGTATCTCGAGGTCGAGCCGGCCCATTCGTGCCGAAGCATGGCTCTCCCACGGACTTCTTTTTGGAAGTTGGTTAAAAACATTAAAATGATCAAAAGTATTTTTTTCTGGCTCTCTTCAAACCTTAATTCTTTCTCCTGTTTCTTCAAGCAAAAGCATGTTAATAAGTAAGCCACCTCTACTATAATCCGTTTACGATTAGGATTTGAGAGTATCCCAGTTTTTCTTTGCAAAATCTTATTTCGTGATCACTCTCTATGCTAATGCGGTCTCGACTAAGGTTCTTGAACACATTTTCTTCTCTTGCACTAAATTACAGACATGGACAGTTCATTTAACCGCAGCATACCGCAAAATAATTCTAGAATAATGCAGGGTTGCCACGGAACAATGAGCTTTATAACAAATACCATAAGATCAGAAATAGAGTGTCTCGCGTGGTCTTGTTTACACAACGGCCCATTTGTTCTTCGAAATAGTTCTTTTGAATTTACTAGAAAGATTAATAACGTTTCTAGCGTAATTGCGAGTTGTTTAAATACAGACACGTCTTCGCCAGTAGGACAGTTAAGTTTGAGCTACAGTGCGATAAACATCGAAGCGATCTGAGCGAACAGAAGAGTAACCCAGCGACCTCGGTAATCATTCCAAACTGTTACTAAGTAATGATTGGTTTTATGTGTATCAGTAATAGTCTCTTAAGTCGTCAGAAGGCATTTCAATGCAAATCAACGAACCTTAACATGTTATTCTTGCCACACACCCATTAATGCACGGACTCGACTGCACGGATGGCGTAGTGGTTTAAGCGGTCGCCACGCCGCTTTCTACTACGCCGAGTGTTGTGGGTTCAAACCCCACATGGGACGACACTTTGTGTGATCCACAAATTGTTGTTCTGAGTCTGGGTGTTCTTTGTGTCCGTTTCATGTATGTTTGTAAAGTCCCCCGCGACACAGGATTTATTCCTAATGCGGGCGTTGTCTTTTTAAAAAAAAAAAAAAAAATTTGGCTATTCTCTTGTAACATACCCCGTTAGTGAAGATAACCAAAGAGTTATTGAATTAGAAGAAGAATTATCAAATTGCTAGTGGATCAATGGCTTAGTGACTTTGCTGTTGCAATATAATCATTTAACATAAATACAAAATTTTAAAACATAATTACAACGCTACGATCTGCACTAATGCCGTCTGATCACAAATTAGGCAGAGCCTGTACTATGGTAATCAGACTGAATCAGATAAACATCCTTATATATTTCTAAATACATACATATTCTAGAAATTACATCCAAACAGAGAACAAATTAAAGACACAATTATTTGTCCTGGGTGGGAATCGAACCTCCCTGGCTTAGTAGTCAGGGTCCACTACTACCACTATGAAAGTATTTCTGTATTTTATACCACATTATGGTGTATATTGTATGAAATTATTTACCAAACTGTCCAATCTTAAAAAGATTTTTGGCGAGTTGTGTTTGCAACATCAGATGTTGACGCCTAGCGCCCTCAATGTCACCTGGGTTACCCGGAGCTAGGTATGGAGGCACTGAAAAGGAATTCTGTTCTTAGTATCACTATTTTTAATGCATTAAATTTAATGAGAGACCACTGGTCCGTAACTAGAGACCACTTTAGTTACTGGCTGGGTGGACTCTGGGTATCATCGTCATCACCAGCCTATCACAGTCCACTGCTGGACATAGGTCTCTCCCACTGCACGCCACTTAGATCGATTTTGGGCTTCTCGATTCTCTTCTTCTCTGGGTATATCAAAAATTATTTAAAAAAAGTTTTTTTTTCAATCATAAGCTTGTTTTTATAATTATTTTAAGACTAGTATTGCTATGTCATAATGTTTAATGATAATGCTCCATTATCAACATTCTTTTTAATATAACATTTGTCTAAACGTAAAGTTATAAACACAAATATGTATGATGACCTGAAATGTTTTAAAAATTAAATGTAATAAACGTTACCTGGATTGCCTTTGTTGAATGCAACGGCGGCTGCGAGGGCGAAGTTGATGGCGGGCGCGGCAGGGGACACGGCGCCGAATCCCTCATTGGGCTCTTCTTTAGGAGCTACCTGATAGAATAAATATTAGGATTCTTCTTTAAATTAAATGTTTTCATTGAACAGAAAGATAATGATAATGGACATAATATATGAAAAGCTTAAATATGAACGCCATTTTGAATGTGCTATATTTTAATAGTCAAGCCCTTTCATTTGTTACCGACATTGAGGGGGTTGAAAAAAAAATCCACGCTTTTCTAGTAGCGGATATCTTGATTTATAATGACACTGAACATACACAATCGTATTATCATCAGAACTAAAGATAGTAGAAACAGGAAGGGGGTAAAACTTTAATTACTTAAGGAGATGCCCACTTTTGGACCCACACTTTAGAGAAAAAATTAATACTGGAAAAATGTTGTTATTTTATTTCAATACAAAAACACAAGGAATAGTTTTAATTTACAGTTGCTAAATGAAAATATTTGTATTTCTTTCAGGATCATATTTTTTTGCCAGGCAATTAATAAAAAGACGAAAGTGACAGCCTTTAAACAAACGTCAGTGATAAAGTATTTATGTTAGTCTAGGAAATGCCACCAAAATACGAAGGTGAAACTGAAATTATTTCCTCTTTTACTGTTTCTATGTTGCATTTCTAGCCTTTAGTGTTTTTTTTTAACAACTTAGTATGCGTAACTAGTTTGCAAACAGCATAACCTACCATAGATTCGCGGTCATACTTTTTGATAATGCAATTGTCAATGAAACTGAAACTATGGCCATCTAAAGTTCATACTTTTACCTAACTGATGGTACTAGTTTGGAACTTGTAACGATTCATCATGATTATGGCCCAACAATGTATGAGCAATCCCCTTTGACCCAAATAGGTCAAGCTAAATAAAACTATGAAATTATTGTATTTGTTCTTTTGTCAAAAGAGGTATAGCAGGATGCAGTACAAATTAAATAAACCAATACTATGGTATAGGTAGAACCATGGATCAGCAAAAAGGCTCCCAAATAATTTTGGGTAGAGGGGGGCACACAATCTCTGTTCTTTATAAATTATATAGGTGATGGAATTACCTGTCCTGGTTGCCCCTGTCCTGTTAATCCTAAGAATTTGGAGTAGGCTGCTTGTCTATCGTGCATGCCATCTCGTTCCCCAGCTTTGGCTTTGTCCACAATGGGTTTGCGCTCATGCTGGACCGCTGTGTGATACATTGCAAGAATTATTGTTCATAACAATATTCATGACCAAATATTATATAATACATGTAAATCAAATGACAATTTAATATTACAGACAGTGCCAATTTCTCAAGATTAATATAATTTTCAGAGATATTTAAAGAATTTCTAAAAGTAGTTGTGTGTCAATCAGTCAGAAACTTTGGTCCAGTCTTTGATCTCTATAAATTTTGATATGATTTTGGTCCCTCAAATTAAAGGACAGGTATTAAGTTAATGAATGAAAAAATGATTATGATGTCAAAAGTAACTTAAAAAAAAGAAACAACACCGACCTGCGCCGAATGCGCAAAAATTTGTGATAAAACACTAAATTGTGATAAATCACAGGTGGAATTTCTTCTTTAAATGTATATGGTAACAAACCTTGATTACAATCTATTATAAATTCATCATCATCATCTACAGCCTTTAATAATCCACTGCTGGATATAAGCCTCTCCTTAGAAAGGAGGTTTCGGCCTATTATACCGCTCTAGCCAGACGGTTGATATAGGGTTAGTTTCAAGTTTTCCTTCTCTTTGCAGAAATGTTGTCCTGTGTAGTTCAATTAATACTAAATTATTATTATGGTGTAGTTTGTTGTATAAGTTGTATATATTGTATTATATGTGCATACAGCCTTGGCCAAAAGTATTATGCACCCCAGAAAAATGCACAATTCATGTTTACTGATTAAACAATGAATAAATGCTTATCTTAGATGGCTTGCCGGGGTCACAAATAACTTCCTAGAAAAGCAAGCAGCTATCTGTTATGGTCATAAAACACCTGGTGCCTGAAAACAAAGGATTTGTTTTTATGCGTTCTTATCAGTCAATGTTTGGTCACTTGTGTTCAGGACTCTCAAGCTTTTATTTCTCACATAGTGATTAAATTGACACGTAATTTATTTAAAAATGCCGAAAAGAAGTGAAATTTGTTTGGAAAACCGAGTAAAAATACAACTTTTCCATGAACGATGGAAGTCGCAAAAAAAATTGATAAGTTAGTGAAATGTTCGCGTTGCGCTGTGCAATCTGCTATCAAACAGATTTGAGACTGGCAGTCACGCTAATAAACCAAGAACAGGCAGAAAACGTGTGACTTCGAAAATTAATACGCGAATCTATGGAAGATCGGAAGAAAACATCATCAGAGCTTGATGCTACTTAGTCCGAAGAGGCTGGAAAGCCAATAAGTGCTCGGACCACCAGAAGAAGACTTGGAGAAGCAGGCTTAAAAGGATGCAAAGCCAGGAAGAAGCCCTGGCTTTCAAAAGCTAACAAAAGAAAACGACTTGAATGGGCTCTACGGCATCAACATTTTACTAAGGAAGATTGGGCCAATATGGTATGGTCTGACAAATCTAACTTTGAGGTAAGTAAATTTTACTGCTTTTGTTATTAATAATCATGGACAGTTATTTATTTAACTAAAATAATAAAAGTTAAGGCAGTTTAAAAAAAGTGCTTTTTTCTTTTTTCAACAGATATTTGGAACGCCAGGTGTGACTTTACGAAGGCGACGTGTGGGCGAAGAATACCATCCAGATTGCGTCGTACCGACAGTAAAGCATGGAGGAGGCAGCATAATGATCTGGGGCTGCATGGTTAGTGATGGGGTTGGCGAAATGTTTGTTTGCGAAGGTCGTATGAACAGCGAAAAGTACATAAAAGTGCTTGAAACTGCGCTTATGCCTTCGCTAACGAGTATTTTCGCCGATACCAACTTAGAGGGAGTTATATTCCAGCAAGACAATGCATCTTGTCATAAATCAGCGACTACGATGCGTTGGTTTACTGAAAACAACATTGACTTGTTAGATTGGCCAGCGCAGTCACCAGATTTGAACCCAATTGAACATCTTTGGAGCATTTAGAAGCGCAAGATTAAAGAGCATAGTATCACATCGAAAACGGCATTCAAAAATGCGTTAGTACAAGAATGGCATGCCATTACAAGGGAGGATTGTACTAAGCTTGTATGCAGCATGCCAGCTAGAATTGGTGCACTAATTAAATCCAAAGGTGGACCGACTAGATTTTAAGTTTTTTTCATTCCTTTTTGTGAATTTTAATGGTAATAAATCAATTCAAAAAGTATAACTTGTTTTTTTCCTTTATTTTAAGTAAAATGTAGGGTGCCTAATACTTTTGGCCAAGGCTGTATATGTATGTATGTAACTCAGCAAGTATACATGTATGTGTACACTGTTTCTGTCCATCTCCTTTATTATTATTATCTCGTTGACACAAAAAAGAATCTAGTGCACCTTCTCAGACATTTCCCCACCAGCCAAAGGAGAAATGCCAGTTGCATTAAGTCCTCCATTATACAATCAATTATTATTTATGCAAAAATAAGTAAATAAAACAAATATATATATATACAAGAATTGCTCCTTTAAAGGTATTAGATATGAGCCTACTTAAAACCATGTCTAGTTGTAAGTAATGTATTGTTTTATAGTAACAAAGAAATGTCCTATTTCATCTCTGTCCATAGTTAGTAATAGATCCAGCTGTCCTAATACTCACAGTCACTTCTCATCCCGCATGCTAAACACTTCTGTAGGCGGCAGTACTGGCATCGGTTGCGATGGTGCTTGGTTACCTCACAGTTCATGCTACCGCGACACTGGTAGCCTAATTTCTTGCGGATGGACCGCTTGAAGAATCCTTTACATCCTAAAAAAAACACGAAATGAAAAATGAAACGGACCCATGTGTCCAGTGTCTTATGTTGAGTTGCTGAAAGACCCTACTTACTATTGGTAATAGTTATAAGAATGTAGTGTAGGTATGCTGTTGTGTATACATAAATAAATTATTTTTAACAGTGTGTTTCAAATGAATGAACATGTACATTATTATGGCGGCCATTTTGCTAAAATTCTCCTACAGGCTATTTTAAATTCGGATGGCCAATCAACTGTTAATAGATTAATTCATGGGTAGCTATGGTGTGAAGAAGTACCTAATTTAACTTTGTAAGTTTGCCTAAAAACAGGCATTTCACTTTTATTATTAGTATAAAAAAATTGTAATATTCTGAGCATAATTTTTTAATTCAGAAATTTTAGAATAATATAATATATATAGAATACTTTGTAGAATACTAAGCTCAGTTAATCTCCTCTGAGGATTTTCAATACTAACCCTCGCAACTTATTGCACCATAATGTCTCCCAGAAGCTCTGTCACCGCACACAATGCACAGTTCCAGACCACCAACTTCACTACTCCCACTGAACTTCAACTCCATTTGTTCCTGGCCATCCATGATATCTGTGGAAAGAGATAAAATTACCTAAGACATAGGAGTCTATTAAAAATTCCAGCTGTAAAGAAAATTGTGTTTGTGAGGATATTTATTATTCTTATAAGGAATAATTTTTATAAGCTGTACTTATATGAATTTAATTGATAGATAAAATGTACTAAGTAACTAATGATATGCTCAATTTTTGTATATCATCAATCTATTTATATCTGAGCAAGAAAAAAGGTCTACATATTTAGACCTTTTTTCTTGGTCAGATATTGAACTAAGCTACTATAGATAGTTCAACTCAGTTGTGCGCGCGGCCCTATGTGTGCGTGGGCTTGTAAATATACAACTTTCATTCGTGTGCTGCTCGGACGACGACTGCCGCGTCACTGCCACACGAATGAAAGTTGTATATTTACAAGCTCACGCACACATAGGGCCGCGCGCACAACTGAGTTGAACTATCTATAAACAACTATATAACTGTTGCACAAACACTGCAATCTTACTTCCATGGACACAATCAATTATTAAAGTTAATTACACCCAGGCGGGCCTATACTTCAACCGATTTGGACGGGTTTGTCAAAATATGTCTAAATCTATGTTAAGCAAGTCTTTTGTTGCTTTTTACTAAGCGAGGCAGAGAGCCAACCTCCCCATTGAATTTGGGCAACGCACTTGGACTTTGAGTTGCAGATGTATATGGTAAGCAGAAGTCACCATAGGTGACTAGCCTGTTCGTTTGTCCCTCTATACCACATCAACAGCCATGAATATTGCGACTGTATATCGGCAGACAGCCGTTACTGAAGTTTTTAGTATTGAATTATTTATTTATTTTCTTTAAAAAGACAACTCCCGCACTAGGAATGTATCCTGCGTTGCGGAGGACTTTACAGACATACATGAAACGGACACAAAGAACACCCAGACTGAGAACGACAATTTGTGGATACCACAAAGTGTCGGCCCATGTGGGGATTGAACCCACAACACTGAGCGTAGTTGGAAGCTGCGTGGCTACCGCTTAAACCATTACGCCATCCGTGCAGACATGTGAATGTATCTGTATGCATGTATCTGCAATAATATATTGAACAGATCCATTTTCTTGTTATTGAACATATTATGTTATGATAAACAACTGTTTGGAGACGAGTCACCATTTTGTAGAGATATTGGTACTCTGCTTTTACCTGTCGGACGGTCGGACTTGCACCATGTTATTTTGGCTATCCAGATAATCGGTGGTAAATTTTTCTTTTGTTCCATTTCTCTGAGTGATAGAGGAGACACAACCCCTCTTTTTAAGTCTGATAGGGGCACTCAGAGGCTGGCAACGGACTTGTGACTCTTGAGCAACAGGTGTACATGGACGGCTGTGGTCATATACCATTAAGTGACCCGTCCGCTTGTTTACCCCCCACTCCACAGTAAAAAAAAAAAAAAAAACTGCTGGTAAGCTTTACTCTGTGGTTAAATAATAATAAACTTGTTCATTCAAACCATAACTTATTCAATGCTAACAATTTTCACTTGAGGGTGTTTGTGTATTTGCTTCGATCATCGTAATCTAGTTTGAATTTTCAAACTACCTGACGTTTTTTGTTGACACTAGAAGTGGCAAAAGTGAACGCATACCTACTATATTATGAAATGAGAAATGAGCCGAGATTTCGAGTTTTCGCACACTAGTGCGTGACAGCTTCGTCTTCACACACACTCACGTCACGTCATTCTGATTACAGTGAAATTAGTCTCGAGAAATTTTTGCATATGTAGTGGTGTGTATATTACTCAGATCTAAGAGCGCGTTTCCACTATATCGTTCTGGCCTATACAAAAACGTTTCGATACCCTAACATTACTATTTAATTTTATACTCATCCCTAGCAACACTCTGATTTTTGTTTTCAATAAAAACAAGTTTTTATTATAAAGAAAAAGGTTTTGACTTTATAAAAAAAAAGGTGTGTGTGCGATTCACACACGATAGAAGTGAAACTTCAAAGAGGAGAGACCGATATCTAAATTTTTTTTTTTTCCTTTCATCTAGGTTTTTAAAACTCCGGGGGTCTACGGGGGGGTCAAAATTTTTGTTATTTTTGGCCTAGGACTTACCGTTTCCGAGATATTTCAATCTAAAGCAAAAAATCGTCACTTGATAGTGGAAAGTGGAAATACGCACAACCATACACTACTACAAACGCAAAAATTTCTCCAAGCTAATTTACCTGTACCTAGTGTGAGCATAAATGATACCAGTTGTTTCATTTTTTTTTAAATTGGGAAAAATCATAAGTATTGAATCAATAATTTAGATAAATATACTCTGAGAAAAAACAATATGGGATGAAATTAAATAAATGTACCTAAACGTTTTGCTCAACACGTGTTTTTATGTGTATGTGTGTATTATGAACGCTAGATAGACTGAATGAATACTTATATACTTTTTGTAAGACCTTACATATTATATAATGGAAAACACAAACTCCGAAACAAATATTTGCAGATCGTGCAAACATTTTGTCCGACCAGGGAATTAAACCCGAGACCCAGAAATCACTCAACGCGGCTAAAGTGGTTTTCACTTAAAAAAATTACTCAGCGTTTGAGATGTTAAACAGTAAAATTTCGAACAAATAAACTGCCTCTGTAATTAGGGTTCCGTACCTCAAAAGGTAAAAAAGGAGCCCTTATAAGATCACTTTCTTGTCCGTCTGTACTTCTGACCGTGTCACCACCGATTTTTTCCCTACCTACCTACCTAGACCTAGCATGTTGAAAATTATACCAGATACTGAGGGTTATGGTCCCTATTAGGTGTATAGAATTCAAGGTCCAAGGTCTTGAGACCACACGATAAAAAGATATGGGCAAATTTCGATTTTCGCAAAAACTTGTAAGCACCAAAATTTACCTTAATTTTCAACTTTTTTTATTTTTCAGAATTTTCTCTTTACTTGTTCTGTAAGACCTTGCTTTTAACCAAAATTGACAATTCTAGGTCAACCGGAAGTACCCGTAGATTTTGGGTCGATATCCTATATGGTAGTTGCCGTTGGCCTAGAATCACGAAATTTGGCAAAAAGAAACATCTTACAGCACAAATAAAGGAATAATTCCAGAAATTAAAAAAAATTGAAAATTAAGATAAATTATGGTACTTACAAATTTTCGCGAAAATCTACGTAAAATCTGGGTAGGTACGGAACCCTAGGCGCACGAGTTCGACTCGTACCTGACCGGTCTTTTTTTATAATAACGTCGTTTACTTTGAGAGGTTCTTGAAATTGCTTCTAATGTCGAGATGTGGTGAAACCGAATCGTTAAATATTTTTCCATTATATATTTACTTAGACTTATACCTTCCATTCAATTGAAAGTATGATTTTAAGTTTTAAAAAGCGCTTTCATTGCCAACAATTTAGTGTAATGTGATGCTTTTTTTATAATCTTTCGTAGGTATAACTATTTCGCAAATACAACAAATATCGAACATATCTTTCGATGGAAAATGTAAGTCCTTTGGTGTTTAAATATGTATTAATCTGCGAAACTATAGCTTTAAATTTCCTATATTTCGGGTAATTTGCACGAGTGAATATTGGCAATAGTGGGCTTATAATGAATTCTTTAGTTCTAGGGAGTGCAGGTTAAGTTTAATGTTTAAAGTCTGGAAATAAGTGATTGAATCAATCATTTACTTATGAAACGTGATTCCTGATTTTGTTTTCGTTCGGTCACGACGTTTTTTACACCATTTGACTATGCAAGTCATGTATATTTAACATTACCTATTTTTTTTCCCCGCGTAACGCGTCTAGGTGTCTCGATGCTTGCGTCCGTAATGGCCGACTACAGTATGAAAGTGTGCGTAGCGTGCCGGCCTGTATAGTCCGATACAAATTTAATGGCGGCTCGGAACATCGTGTGTTTCGATGCGCAGAACGCAATTATTGACAGCAGCGAGACGTAACATTAACAACAACATCATTACAAGAATGCCTTTTGGTGTGTGAGTTACAACAGTACACTGCACATGCGCGCGCGCACATTCCTGTCTACGTACAGTCGAGTCGACTTGACTGATCAGACCTGTGTGCGCAGCTAACTTCAGAGCCGCCATTAAGTTTGCATCGGACTATACGTACAGCGAGCTGGCCGGCTCTGAGTGACACAGTGTTTTGCTAGCGAGACTGTGCGACTTTTTTGGAGTTTACTCCTTAACAATCTATTTTCATATAAGGCACCCGATATAAAAAATCAGAAGAGTAAAACTTAGCGATCGAAATCATTCTTAAGAAGTTAACTCCTGTCCTGTGTTATTTTTATTTTTATGTTAATGCTTAGCTCTTTAGGTTGCAACCCTCATCTTGTATCACCTACATTGCCATGTTGTGTACACATATTTAGGAGCATAGCTAAGACCGGGAGAGGTTTAGGACTCTCCCGGCACGCCAGGCCCGGGAACGGGCCAGGTACCGCAGGCGACTCAGGCGCCGGAGGTCGCAGAACGACCTCCGTCCTCCATAAGCGCAGGCCTGGGGGTGACAGGTGAGGCCATCTGTCACCCTAGCAGAAGCAGGCCGGGGTGGCGGCGAGCGCGTTGCGAAGCGCGCTCGCTTCCAGGGAGCACAGGGAACATGGGGTTCCCACACGGGGGGGGGGGGGGTCGTCTACTCGTCTGTAGATGACCCGAGGTATGTCGGGGCACCAGGGACTTCATTTCTAGGGTATACCTGGTTCCCCGGCTATTAGTACCCGAGACGGCGTGCGGTTTTAGTCGGTTCGAGTCCGACATGCCACCGACGGTGGTATCCGAGGGGATTTCCGCACGAAAAAAAAAAAGGAGCATAGCTAAGACCGAAACTGTTTATGTTAGCTATCTATAAGACTAAGCTTCGTGTTATGTTCTGTTTTGTGTGCCTCAATAAATAAATGTCGTGCATCGGACCCGACATACACTTTTTTATATCATCATCAACAGTCCACTGCTGGACATAAGCCTCTCCATAGAAAGGAGGTTTTGGTCTACTATACCTACTTTTTTATATGTGCATGGTATAATCTAATGTTTGCTGCAGTGATTAACCATAACTCCAAGACTCCCCTATAAAGATAATATGTATAAAATATATAATTTCGTGTAATTTATTTTACTTTTTTTGGAGATCTACCATCGCTGTTTCTTGTCATCAGTGTTGCAGTAGTAGCGTATGCGATTGTGGTGCTGAGGTCTCGGGTTTGATTCCTGGATCGGACCAAATGTTTGTATGTGTTTTCTATGTATAATATGTGTGTATCTACAAAAAAAGGATAGAATTATTCTATGTAAAGCTAAGAAAAGTAATGAATACCTTTGCTGTAGATTTTATTCCTTTATTTCAAACTGTTTAGGCAGCACATGCAATATTATAGAATTTTTGCCGACTTCAATTACATGTATTGTGATTAATTAAAAAATTTAGTTACCAAATTAAAAAGTAGTCTGTAGCACTCTGGGATATTATGCTTAACGGTGGGTCCACACAATACACACTTAGTACAGAATTATATAGACTTCTATAGAAATTTATCTGTGTACCAGTGTGTTGTCAGCAGTGCAGACAAATGTTGGTGTATTCAAAAAGTCTGAAGTATGTGAGTTGAAAATATGCACATATGTCTGAATATTATTTGCAGTCAAAAATTAATCAGTAAATGAATTAACACAACTTAATGAAAAGTCCACACAAACAACTTTGGGTGAACTTTTTCACCCAAACTTTTCAGTCTGTTTGACAAAAGTTTGTACCCAATCTGTGATGTGTGGAATGATCATAATAGTGAAAGAATTTTCGCAATCGGAGTAGGAGTACCGGAGATTACCCTGAACATACAAACTCACAAACTTTACCTCTTTATATTAGTATAGATTTTATACATATCGACTAAGTCGTCATGTATGTAATCTATACTACTCCATTTCAAATGATTGTTAGTCGAAATAACAACCATTTAAAATGGAGTCAAATAAATAAATAAGTGTTCGATTTACGATTATACTTTTGAAGTTTTGAAAAAATGCGTATTATAAAAATACCACGTCCTTTCACTTTTGGCGCATGCTCTCATAGTGCTATTTTCATACTTAGTTGTTTTTAAAAAGATTTAATAACAAAAGGGTTTCGTAAATTTACTTAGGATAAAACGTTTTAGAGGGCAAGCTATGGTCACTCATGTAAAAAATCTATGCACCAAGCAAATATACTGTTACTTTGTTAGCTTACCTTGACCAGTTTCAATTTCCTGACCTTTGGAGTTCACGCATCTATTGTCATCAACTCCTAATTGTCAGATAAAGACTCCAAACAGCACTAATTACTTACGTGCTTCACTTTAATATCACGAAATATAAATACCACAACACAACGAAAATATGTGCAACGCGACGTAATGGAGGAGTGAATACTGAACCACAGACTACGAACTAATTCAAAATCCTACAGTACAGATTAATACAGAACAGATTGCTGACTGACGGTGTTGCTAACAGTTAAATGAACTCTCCACCGGTTTTTATCTGCAGCATCATAGTCGGTTTCAGATCTCAAAAACTCTTTGGTACCGATTTGTTTTAGGACGTTAATTGAAATTTCAACTTCGTTGCAATATTTTCCTTACAACCTCAAACCACAGCGTATTAGCGTAGCTTAACATGGCAGATAAAAAAATAACGGTTTTTAAGCTATTGCATAGCTTCTATCGCGGGCTTTGAGCGTGGAGACCATACGTGATACTTTTTAGTTTTGTCATCTATCGATGAATATCACGCTTATCTCTTTAGTTCAGCAACTAGCCTCTAGTGGCACTAGGTGGCATTGGTTGTATCGGCTTCGCATGCGTAATCACCCTCTTCGCCCCGCAATCTAATTATTATCAAAGAAAAAAAAAGAAAAAAAATACTGCACAAATAAAATAATTATAATTGCATAAGTTGATAAAAAATGCTATGCAATAGCTTCACCGCGGCAGTGTTTTTTATTACGGTCTTTCTACGAATAGTCTCTTAATATGGGCATTGGTATGAGGCGATGAATAAGAGAGTAGTGGGCAGTGGCAAAAGTTGTTAACTTATCAAACCTAGAATTCCTTTTGGCATATTTGAAGTGCAATACTTCCAGTATGTAGAAGTTTCTTAACACGTTGGACATTGGTAGACAAAAACGGACCGTTAGTTTGAATAATATCAGTTTTCATTAATCTTTTGCTACTCAATTGGATCATCAAACAAAAAGGTTTACCCTGAACTATATCGCTAGTCTGTCAAGACCCAATATTGTCAATATTTATTATTGACTTTGAATTTTGCCTCTCCAGTGCCTTTTGGAGATATCAAAAAGATCATCATTACTGTCTGTTCAAAATTAATGTGTGTCTAAAATTATTAATGTGTGTCTAAAATTATTAATCATTGTCTTACTGATCACTTCCGTCCAATCTCCATCCTTACATTCCTACTAAAGGTTTTTAACCTTGGCTTACACTTACAGTTCGTCTTTCAACATCATCTCTTAAGTCTTGTACTATCTTACTATATACTACTAAACCATTAAAAAAGTCCACTAGCAACTAACAGCAATATTTCACCACTAAAAGGAGGGGTGAAAACCACCAGTTTTAGTGGAAAATCTACTAGGTTGGCAGCACTGCTGACTGTAAAGACAAAGAACAGTAGAATGATGAATGGTTGGCAGCGATTGGTTGGAGAAAAGGGTTGAGTAATTAATTGATTTCTAAACGAACGCATAAAATATATTTGGCGCTACTACATAGTAGGTCCAAATTATATTCCAATATTACTCTCAAACTAACTCGGTAAATAATAACAAAAAATACAATTATTAAGAATCGATGATTAGTAGAATTGATTGGATTGAATGAATAATAATTGACTTCTAAGCGCAACGCAAATGTAAAATTTATAAACTGTACAAATCATGCTATTAAATTTGTAGTTGAGACTGACATAATGAATAATATAATAGCTCATACTGCAATAAAATGCCACAATCAGGAACATTTTGTAAAATATAATTAAGAGAATTTTAAGCCTTAGACTTAGCCATAGACTTAGAAATTTTATATTATACTTAGAAGTCTATGTTACAACGTATCTTGTCTCTGTTTTATCAGCTGCAGTCAGCCAATCAGAGTTTCTGTTATGCTGCTTCTAAACCGTATGTGACACTTGTGTCACATGAGGCCAACCTCGTGTTGATTTTGTTGTGATCAAGGGTAGTTTTACTCTACTTTCATGCAAAAATACAAGTGTTGTACATAATCAAGGTTTTTAACCATGGCATGTTCAGATATAGATAACATTATAGATAAATTTAACGTTTTCACTGAGAAACCAGCGAAATTTCTAACAGTGCAAACCGATGTAAAAGATGATTTAAAAGACTTGGTGAAATCTCTTTATGATTACACGAAAATACAAGAGAAAGTTGATAAGAAGGTTCAAAGGAGTGCATTAACTGAGTTAATTGTCCAAGATTTCGATGAAGAACAAGTTTGGCAACAAATTGAGCTTCAAAATGCCGAGTGTTGGGACCAGCTTGTCTGGGAAGTTGCAAACTGTATATCAACTAAAACTGACCTAACATTTCCTGTAACGACTGCTAAAGATGCCACTAATGGTGTTGAAGAGTCAGGCGAGGAAACTCCCACGTCCGAGGGTGAGCAATCAGACAATGAACCGGAAACCAAAACTCAGGTTAAAAAACCTAAAAGAAATGTAGCTTTACCACCTAAATCCAAAGGAAAACCGTCGATAGTCGATGATCAGTTCTTCAAGTTACAAGATCTGGAGAAGTTTTTGATTCAAGAAGAAAAGAAAGACGGAAAGGCAGGGTCTGATAGTGAGGAATCAATAAACATGTTCGAAGAGATTGATGATGAAGATTCTGCAGATGAAGAAGGTGGTAAAGAAGCAATGTACAATGATTTCTTCTCACAGGATGGTGAAGAAGATATTGAGCAGAGTGAAAAACTTAATGATGATGATGACTATCTAGAGCATGTTGAAGATGAAGACGATGATCAACAAGAAAACGGAGAAGCTGAAGAAAATGATAAAAGTGAAGAATCTGAACAAGAGATACCTAAGAAAAATGATAAAAAAGTTAGATTTGCAGAAGCGGATCAATCATCAGATGATGATTCAGATGAATCAGATGATGGAGCAGTACCATCAAGTAACAAAGCAACTGACGAAAAGAAGTCTGAATTTGAAATGAGACAAGAAAGATTAAAAAAACAAATTGAGAAGTTAGAAGAAAGAACATTATCGGAAGCTCCCTGGCAGTTAAAAGGAGAAGTAGATGCAATGAAACGTCCACAAAATTCTTTATTAGAAGAAGTAGTTGACTTTGATTTAACAAGTCGACCAGCGCCGATAATTACTGAGCAGACGACCATAACACTAGAAGATATTATCATACGTAGAATCAAAGATAAAGCTTGGGATGATGTAGAAAAGAAAGAGAAGCCTGTGGATGACCAGCTTGCATTCCGTAAAACCGAAATACTTGATTACTCTAAGAGCAAACAGAGTTTAGCTCAGGTGTATGAGGCGGAGTATCTCAAACAAAAGCAAACTCTGTCTGGTGAAGTTGAGGAGGAGAAGGAACCAGAAGCTCATACGGAAGTTCGTGAGGCTATGAGTAAGTTGTTTGCGAAGTTAGACGCATTATGTCATTATCACTACACTCCGAGAGCTCCGCAAGCTGAGGTTAAAATTGTAAGCAATATACCAGCTATATCTATGGAGGAAGTTGCACCAGTGGCAACCAGTGATGCTGTATTATTAGCTCCGGAAGAGATTAAAAGGAAACGTAAAGGGGAACTGATGAGTAAAGGTGAACGGACACAGACAGACAAGAATAGAGAGAGAAGGAGAAAGAAAAAGCTGCAGAAGGCTAAAGGCAACATTACTAAAGTAACAGAACATCGGAATACACAGAAAGGATTGCAGACGGATGATAAGTCGTTGAAGACTTCAAAGGCTTTCTTCCAACAACTGAATGATGACTCAACTAGTGTAATTAAAAAAAACCGTAATGTTAAGAATAAAGGACAATAAATGATGGTTTTTGAGTGTTAATAAATACTGTGTATAATTTAAATCCTGTTTTTTTTTATCAATCAAATCATTGTGTTTGTTGAACAACTGTTTTAGTTAAAAATGTTTTGCACCTCTGCAGTTCTGGTGTATATAACAACTTTTTAGTTTTTTCTTTTATTAAAAACAATTCCAGCAGTAGGAATACTTTTGTATCCTGTGTCGCAGAGGACTTTACAAACACATGAAACGGACATCAAGAACACCCAGACTCAGAGCAACAATTTGTAAATCACACAATGTGCGCAGTAGGTGCTGTGCAGTCAAATGGTAACTGGAAACAAAAGAAAACTGTTTTGCACCTCTAGAGAACATGTTTTAATCTCTATACATTCAATGATGAATGATTCAAAATCGAGCTAAGTGGTGTGCAATGGGAGAGGTCTATGTCCAGCACTGGACTGCGATAGGTTGATGATGATTCAAGATGGTCTGACCAGCCATACCAAACTATATTTTTAAATCTAAGTAATTTCAATTATTTTTTTAAAAGAACTCCCGTATTAGGATTACATCTTGTATCGCGAGGAATTTTACAGACATACATGAAACGGACACAAAGAACACCCAGACTCAGACAACAGATAATTTGTGGATCACACAAAGGGTCCTCCCATGTGGAGATTGAACCTACAACACTCAGCGTAGTAGGACGCGGCGTGGCGACCGCTTAAACCACTACGTCATCCGTGCAGTCAAATTCGTAAGTGATATTTTGAAGAGGTTATTGTTTTTTTTTGTTTCATTTCAATTTATTCTTGATTTTACATTTTTTTTCTTTTTTTTTCTTGATTTATCATATATTATCTTCATGCAGTCTAACATCATCATGTCTAGTCCTGATCTTGTTCCTGAGAATAGTGCGTTCAAACAAGCAAACAAACTCTAAAAGCTTTATAATATTATTATATTAGACATGGAAATTATTGCTAATTTATATCATATTCATATGATGAAATGAGTGGCTTTAGTCACAGTGATTTCGTATGTGATTGTGATTAGGTCATAGAAAGTTAAATGCCATTAAAATCAATAAAAAAAAATGTTTTTTTTTTGTAAATTAGTCACAGGTGTGATTATATGATTTATAAATCATATGATTTACGACAATCTTGTTTGTATCTATACTTTTTAATTTGTTTAATTTACTTTGAGTTACGTAGTTTAATATCTTGTACCGTGTTTCACCAATATGTGGGTATAGGATGTCTATATCCAGCTGTAGGTGTATATACCAAGTGGAATGAAATCCCCAAACTGCGTTGGCTTTGGGGAAGTAACTCTGGCCGTTAGTCTACAGCGCTAGTAATTAGCAGCGGAAAAACGTAGCGATATGGCGCGAGACGAATCAGACTTCGAACGAGTTGCGAAGTAAATATAAAAGAGGCGGCATCTTAACTTGATATTAAATGTTTGTGTTTGAGAAAATTTGAGTAATGTGGGTTTGAGAAGGTTCGTCAAGTTATATAGATTTTTAATTAATTAAAACTCAGGTAGTCATCAAATATTGGCGTAGGTACCTGTTTTAAAAGTAAAACTGTCAATAGATAAAGTATAAAAAAGTAATATATTTTATGCAGTATTTTTTTTAAACTTTTTCTTTTACCCTTTTTCATTTTATGATTACGTTGAAAAGTCAGTTAGTTTATTTTGTTTCGATCTGAACATTCTCATTCCATACTAATAGATCTGCACATTTTTCCATCTATTGGAACGAAGTTGATGGCAGCGACACCGAAAAATGTGTAACAAGACACTTCCATAGACCCCTCACGCCGTTTTTTATTATAAATGTGGGTGATGTGGTCGATTTTGAGTCGACTCTAGGAGCGAGTTGAGCTTGTTAATTTATAATCTTTATTCAGACTCTGCTTTCAGTCGATTCAAGAGATTTTCAGCAATGACTTATGTTCTTTAATCCTAAATCGGCATTAATGTGAATAGAAGTCGAACGAAAGAACTTCAATTACAACTAAGCTATGTAGGTTATTTTATAAGTATACTGTCGTACCCTGTGAAATGTTTTATGTCATTATGTTCACCTGGGTGATTTCACCCGTTTGAAGAAGAAGAATTTCACCTAGGTGAAATAATTAGACATAAGTACAGTAAGACAAATAAATTCTTCCAGGATGAAATGAGGCAATCAAAACATCCACTTTATTCGACCTGGTGATATCACCCAGGTGAACATAGTGGAATAAACCTTTCAAATCGACCAGTATTTTTTTATATTTAGATTCTATAAATATATACCACCCCCGTAAATGGGAGAAAAACATTCGTAACTCCTTGTCGTCTATTGCAGTTGGTAGCGACTGCAAGTTACATAACTGTTCCATTACTTTTTAGTTTTAGGCTACAAATGTTAAATACCTAAGCACTTTTGCTGTTGTCTGTTAAACCTACCTAAATATTGTACTTATAAAAAATATTTTGTGGAAGAAATGTAAATCTATTACAAACATTAAGCTGATAAGTTTGTTTGGTTAATAATAATGTTAATAATGAGATTAGCGCATATCAGGAACTACAGGTTCGGGTTGAATAATTCTTTAAGTTATGGATAGCCCATTTATCGAGGAAGGCTATCTAACATCACGATAACAGCAATAGGATCCGAGCATCAATAAAACATGTTGCAAAAACGTAGAAGATTTATTCCTTTTAAGAGACGCAGACAAGTCAGCCAGTTTAAAATAAACAACAAGCGAATATCGTCTGTGTCAATTAACATAGGAGTATATGTGTTTATATATAAGTAGTCGTACAAATAATAATATGACCTTGGATTGGTGACCTTTAGATGTCAAAATTTGCGTACTGGAGGTCATATCAGATTGTAACTATTTCCTCTCTTTTTCAAGGTTACCAATGCCTTGAGTTTGTTTGCACTTTCTTCTCATAACCCCTTGGAAACAGGCGGTTGTAGATCGGCACAGGCATATCATAGATTTTGTATAAGCATAATTTTTATTTAAAAAAACAGAGATTTTTGCTATTGTGTGTGTGTTGACCTACGTATTACAAACATTTTTTTTTTATGAAATAGATATTTTGAATTTTAATAGCCATGGAAAATTCCTGTTACTTTTGTGTTTAAAATATTTCCGAAAAATGCATCCCTAGCAAATTATTCTGATGTTATGGTACTAACATCCTGTAAATAAAAATGTTAAATTGGTTTGTGTACGCTTCAAAAACTTCAGCACCGAATTTTAACACGATATACAACCAGCTTCAAAGATCATTTTTATCTATTTTCGTGTCAGTTTTGGAACGAAGTTCCTTATCGCGCGTTGTGAAAGGGGGCTAGACGGAAAAAATTCTTACGAAAATTGTTCACGACACTTTTTGCTATAGTAAGCTATTGTAAGCTGTGCGGCGTCGCATGTTTCTCTGTCTGTCTCTCTCTCTCTTATAGAAAGCAAGCCAGATATTTTCATTTCTATCTTATTATGTCAGTCATTCAGCGCCATCTATCGAATAGATAGGAAATCATTTCTCAAGGAGATTTTACCAATGTATAAATTGTTTTAATTAAAAAACCAACTGAAAAATATGTAGGTAATAGCCGCTTTCATAGGTGGCGTTGTAATTAAAATGTGCCGAATCAGTTTTACTCGATCGTTACAACTTCGTTCCTATCGGGTGTCCCACGACACCACTCGGCTTTTTTTTATTCCTCATTTGTCATCAATGCAACTAAAATATGCCACAGCGAATCATGGCAGAGTACCTACAGCTTATTATGCATAAATTATAAATACTTACATCAACAAGATGATGGATTTTCGTATTGACATCAGTGTTACCAAATATCTGCTATCTGTTTCATATATATATTTAAGTTCAATGATGGTGCAGTTGTACTAACGAAAACGGAAACGCCTCATATTGCGAGTGCCGTCGTGTTGCGCTACAACAAATTGCTATTAGTTTTTTGCAGGCGCTACGGAACAAATGTGTGTTTTCTCTATTTTTTGAGATGCACATCAGTGGCTCGTATAATTTTCAATATCTATCAAGATATTAAAAATTATACGGTTACACATACACCACAAAATACAATAAATAAAAAAGAACACTACAAACAGTACTCACAAATAGCCGGAGTTAAAGACTCCAATTATTGTAAAAAGCGCAAAAAAAACTTGTATAAAAGTTTATACTTTTATACAAGTTTTTTTTGCGCTTTTTTAGTAGTTTTTTAATAGTTTATCAGTTTATCTATCCTCAACTTTCTTCTTTGAAGCTTTATTTTTGATTGTAACTACTCTAGACCTTGTCAAAAATGTGCTGCGGTGGATGTTGTAGAGGTTGCTGTGGTGGCTGCTGTTGGCGCTAAATAATCTCCATAATCAAATATCTACACCATTTGCTCCAAGATCTACAAAAATTGCTCTGGCCGCGTTCTCAACGTCTCTGGCAAGCCAAGCTTAAAGTGCTTCAAGATCACCGGCGTCGGTTTTCTGTGTGGTGTTTTTCCGTGGCGTTTTGTGGAAATATACTTTAATAATTATTACAATTTAATTGTCTAGTGCTAATAAAATGAAGTTGAAAAGGTTTTAGTTTGTTTAAAGCACTTATCTCATGAAGTATCAGTCAGAATTGAATGACAGATTATTTTTGTATTAGATCAGAGTTTTCCTTACACCACGATCTAGAGCCAATAAATATGACTAAATAGATTGGAAGACCTCAAAAATGTATTTGAAGAGACAAAAATACAGGTATACATTGTCTTTAGATTCGATTAAGTCTATATATATAAAAGAAAGTCGTGTTAGTTACACTATTTATAACTCAAGAACGGCTTTACCGATATGGCTGAAAATTGGTGAGGAGGTAGCTTAGAGCCAGGAGACGGACATAGGATACTATTTATTCCGTTTTTTTTTGTATCGGCGTCGATCACCAGATGACAACGGTGGAACTGTCACAACAGAAGTGAAAAGAAT